GATCAACCTATTTTTTCCCAAGCACAAGGTTTTGTCAATGTCGGAAAAGATAATAAAGTGAAAGTTACTTTATTTTAAAAGAATAGAATTCTTTAGAAAGAACACATTTTTTGTATGTGGTTTATTCACTCTACAAGTATTTATTGAACAACAGCATTGTGACGTTTGTGTGAGATACAATGGTGAACAAAGCCAAACTTGTTCAGTTTTAATGGACTTTACAGTCTAGAGGGGAAGACAGACATTAAGAAAATCATTCCACTAATGAATATGGAATTTCAGTTGTTACATGTGGTATGCAAGAAAGTGTGTGTGCTATGTGGGCTTGTAATGGAGGAACTCGAGCTGGTCCCCGGGGAAGTTACTCTGAGTACAAAGGATGGGTAGGAATTAACTGGGTGAAGATGGAAGGGGAGAGTGTAGCTAGCTCCTGAGATGTCTAGGGTTTTTGATTGTTTTTCCATGGATAGTAGTGGGAATAAAAATGGATTTTGTTTTATCTGTTGTTTCTGACCGTTTGGCTACAGTGCTGAGTGGCTGTTTTTGTTTGTGTGTTCCATCTGTCTCGCAGAAGCTCCAGTGTTCTGTGCATAGAGTGTATTTAATAACTGGTCATTCACTGGTAGAAAGTATTTGAGTCTACTTGAAATTATTTCAAGGTAATAAAATTTTCATTCCTTTAAGAGTTTCCCCTGTTTAAATTTTTAAATAAAATTTATCTTAATTTTTAATCTCCTATTAAATAATGACATTATTAGGCAACTACTTTCAGATAAAGTATGATAAATAATGCCTTTATAAATATGCACTAAGAACCTGTTTATACTTTGATTTAAAACAGAAATCTTTTTTATGTAATTTAAAATCTCATTTTGAATGGAAGTGATATGAATAGCTTATGTAATTTCTGCCAAGGAATTAATATGGACTTTCTATAAACCACTGTCATTTATAATCAGAATGCTTTTAACTTACGTTGATGTTGCATTAACAAGTACTGCTAGATTGGTAGCATAGACAGAAATTGCATTTAGGTTTACTAGGAGCTCATTGATGCCTGAGGCTTTATAATCCTTTCTGTGGCCATTTAACTGCCGGCAACTGTAATTCACATGATTCATAATGCTGGAAATTTAAATTCACTCTTAATTGAAAAGTGAAGTTACTTAAATTCTTTAAATGCTAATCTTTGGAAAAATATCTGAAAAATAAAGGCACATATGATTTTGATGGCCCGCTGCCAAAAGATTATCATTTACATAAATATCTCTTTCAGCAGAAGAGTTTAATGTATTGAGCTCAAAAGGTTAGAATAGAGACTTCAATCTGGAAACCAGCAGTAGCCTGTCGGCTTGTGAACAGCAGCATTGTTCATCGTACTGAGAACACTGCTCGCATTCAAGCTTAAGCAGAGCTGGCATTAAAATTCAGTTAATTTGTTTCATGTGACTTGTCAGCTGTGTGTTTTTATCTAAATCTTTCTATCCCTTCTTCCTGGAATTTTGTGGTAAACTCCTAAAATAGATGAACTACCTTTTTAACTGTGTAAGTTCTGATATTTTGGCTACTTCTGAAAATGATTTCATTTTAAATATATTTAATAATCAAGTTGAATGCCATTTTAATTTATGAAAAGTAATCCCATTTCAGAAGACTTTTCTCTTTCTTGTTTTGTGTGTGTGTGAGTTTGTAAAAGGGACTTTCTGAAATTCATTAAGGTAAAATTGCTATCCTTTTTTTCTTACCAACACCCTGTTCTGTTCTCCTTTGCTAATTTTGTTCTCTGGATTTTCTCTTAAATGACTTTTAATATTTGGCTACCAGCCAAGTATTGAGTCTGAGCAGTAAAGTGCTAGTCTCAAAGAAATAATATAACTGTTACTAATATTGGAGTTAAGATTCCCATTTTACTTTTTGAAGGGTGTGAAGATCTTACTGCTCCTCTGAAACTGTACTCAGTACAATCTAACAGTTGATATTCTTGATTAATTGGGAAGTGAGTGTTTTGAAGATATCTCCAGTGATTTGTAAACAGCTCTTTGAGGTATAATTGATAAACAGTAAACTGCCATATTTAAATTATACAATTTCACAAGTTTGATGTATGGGTATCCTCACAAAATCATCAGTACAGTTAGGAGAGTTTCCATCACTTCCAAAATTTCCTGCCTGTTCCTTTGTAATCCCTCCCTGTCTCCATCCTCCACCACATTCCTGACTTCACAGGAAACCTTCATCTGCTTTGTTACTTTAGATTGGTTTACATTTTTAGTTTTATAGAAATAAAAACATACAACTGTGTGCTTTTTATTGGCTGGATTCTTTTACTCAACATAATTGATTATGAGATTGAGTCATGTTGTGTGTCTCAGTAGTTCATTCCTTTTTATTGCTGAGTAACGTTCCATTGCATTATAGACCACTGCTTATTTATTATTCCATCTGTTAGTGGACATTTGGGTGGTTTCTAGTTTTCTCATCTACTTCCTTGTCATTTAATTTCTCTTTCGTATTTTCCATCCTTTTATATCTCTGTGATGCATTCTTGCTCCCTGCCTCAGGTCAGCACATTGCCTGGCAAAGTAGGTTGAACCATACAGAATTGTCAGTGTATGACTGTTTTTTTTTCCCCCTTTATTTCTATTTTTTATTTTTTTATTTCAGCATATTATGAGGGTACAGATGTTTAGGTTACGTATGTTGCCCTTGTCCCCCCCTCCCCCCCGAGTCCGAGTTTCAAATATGTCCATTCTTCGGGTGGTGCGCATTGCACTCTTTGTGTATGCATATACTCGTCCCCTCCTCCTTACTCCCCCCTCTCTCTCCCTCCTGCCCAACATCCAATAGATGTTATTCTTATACGTGCACTTATGTGTTGATCAGTTAATACCAATTTGATTGTGAGTACATGTGGTGCTTTCCTTTCCATTCTTGGGATACCTCACTTAGTAAAATGTGTTCCAGCTCTATCGAGGAGTATACAAGAGGTGCCATATCACCATTGTTTCTTAAAGCTGAATAGTACTCCATGGTATACATATACCACATTTTATTAATCCACTCATGTATTGATGGACACCTAGATTGTTTCCACATCTTTGCAATTGTGAATTGTGCTGCTATAAACATTCGGGTGCAGGTGTCTTTCTTATACAGTATCATTTGCTCTTTTGGGTAGATGCCCAGTAATGGGATTGCTGGATCGAATGGTACCTCTATTTGTGTCTCTTTAAGGTATCTCCATATTGCTTTCCACAGAGGTTGCACTAGTTTGCAGTCCCACCAACAGTGCATGAGTGTTCCTATCTTTCCGCATCCACGCCAACATTTATTGTTTTGGGACTTTTTGATAAAGGCCAGTCTCACTGGAGATAAGTGATATCTCATTGTGGTTTTAATTTGCATTTCCCTGATGATTAGAGATGTTGAGCATTTTTTCATGTTTTTTGGCCGTTATTCTGTCTTCTTTTGAAAAGTTTCTGTTCATGTCCTTTGCCCACTTATTGATAGGGTCGTTTGATTTTTTCTTGTTGATTTTCCCGAGTTCTAAGTAGATTCTGGTTATCAGCCCTTTATCGGATTTGTAGCTTGCAAAAATTTTCTCCCATTCTGTAGGTTGTTTGCTCTTGTGACAGTTTCTTTTGCTGTGCAGAAGCTTTTTAATTTGATCAGGTCCCATTTATTTATTTTGGTTGTTGCTGTGATTGCCTTTGGGGTCTTCTTCATAAATTTTTTGCCTAGGCCAATGTCTAGAAGAGTATTTCCAACATCTTCCTCTAGAATTCTAATAGTTTCACTCCTTAGGTTTAAATCTGTTACCCAGCGTGAGTTGATTTTTGTGAGAGGTGAAAGGTGTGGATCCTGGTTCAGTCTTCTACATGTGGCTATCCAGTTTTCCCAGCACCATTTATTGAATAAGGATTCTTTTCCCCAGTGTATGTTTTTGTCTGCTTTGTCAAAGATTAGGTGGCTATATGAGGATGGTTTTATATCTGGATTCTCAGTTCTGTTCCACTGGTCAATGGCTCTATTTTTGTGCCAGTACCAAGCTGTTTTGGTTACTACAGCCTTATAATAAAGTTTGAAGTCTGGTAAGTTGATACCTCCCATTTTGTTTTTATTGCCTAGAATTGTTTTTGCTATGCGGGGTCTTCTCTGGTTCCATACAAAGCATAAAATTAATTTTTCTACATCTGTGAAGAATGATGTTGGTGTGACTGTTTTTAACCTACAAAAATTGCAGTTTCATATAGTTCAACACAGTGGTGTTTAATAAATATTTTTAATGAATATTACTTGTTTTTGCATTTACAAACAAAATAATTTGTACATATTGATACAAAATAGTTTACATATTGTTTGAACTCAACTATGTAAAAAATCCTGCATGATAAAAGGCTGACTGATACATTAGCAGTTATTGTGTCTGATTGGTAAAAGTATGTGTTTTTTTCTGTATTTCTGTCTTACATATATACTTGCATATATATGCTTTTTTAAAAAAGGAAAAATCTGTGCTAACTTTTTTTCTAGTTTATATAATTTAAAGTGCTTGTTTATTTCTTCTTTTCTTTGCAAAGTGAAGAATCATGGTATTCTACTAAAAAAACATGGATTTCAGAACCAGTCACATTCTCTTTCCTAGCTTTGTGACTTTGAACAGGCTATTTGATCAGCCCACTGTCCTCATGTGAAGTGATAACTCATTGAGTCCCCACCTGTCAGTGACACACCTGCTGTAGATGCTGCTTTCCTTCCTGTGTTTCCCCGGCCCATATCATGCCATTGGCTAAGGGTAGTATAACTCTGACCTCACTCATTGTTACCTTTTTTTGTAACCGTACCACTCTGGGGGGTTTCTTTTTTTCATTTTCTTTTTTTTAGATAAGAGCAAGATGTGTAATGTGTTGTTATGTAAGTAACTAATTTTAAGTTACATGCAGAATTTGGCTTTCTAATAGTGACGTTAATGACCTTTTTCATTTATTTCTTGTTTGAAGAATATCAAAGAATATTCCAACAACTAAAGATGTTGAGCCACTGCTTGAAATCGATGGAGATATAAGAAATTTTGAAGTATTTTTGTCTTCAAGGACCCCAGTTCTTGTGGCTCGAGATGTAAAAATCTTTTTGCCATGCACTGTAAACCTAGATCCCAAATTACGGGAAATTATTGCAGGTGAGTATTAGTAGTAAATTTAATTTTTCTTCTTTAACTAAAGTCCTCAAAAATTATCCTATTTCTAAGTTAGCTATGTAAGTTTCTCCTGCTCCATGAAAAAAAACAGGAAGTATTGAACCAAGCTCTCTACAGGAGAATTGATGATATTAAAGATTAGGCGTCTTTTTTGGAGCTAGATCTTGCTCTGTTGCTCAGGCTGGAGTCTAGTGGTGCAGTTACAGCTCACTGCATTCTCGAACTCCTGAGCTTAAGCGATCCTCCTGCCTTAACCTCCTAAGTAGCTGGGACTATAGGCGTGTGCCATGTCCAGCTAAGATTAGGAGTCTTGATATCCTTTTTGGAATATTAATAAAATGTTATCTGTTAAACTTACTGTATTATAATTCGCTCCCCCAGCCCAACCAAATCTTTACTTTGGAACTTTGGAATCAGATTCCTTTTAACATATAGTCATGACTTTAAGATGTTGGTTTTGGATTAAGTTCTTGAGATACCACTATAAGGACATGCACACACATACAGAACCTTTATTGAAACACTGTCTTTTGTATAATAGGGCTCCTCTGACCCACTTTTAAGTGTTCCAGGAATTGTGAAGAGATTGCCTTAAACTACTACATTCCTTTTTAGGTGCCTGTTTATAAGGCTGATGTCAAAGGTGCATTTCGTGGCTATGGAATCCATTGTTGTGCAGAACTGGATGAGTCTCATAGTTTCTAAACCCAGTACCCTGAGCTAGCATTGTATGTATTAACATTAGACAAGTGTGAATTGTTGGTAGTTGGTAACACTTTATGAATCATAAGACTTGTAGAATATCACAAGTAAACAAATCCTTTAAAAGTCATAGAAAAATGAATAGTTCTGATAACTGAAGAGAAGAATCCAAATGTTGGTGACTTTTATGCAAAGTACTTGGGCTTTTCTCACTAAAAGTTCTGTGGAATACTCAGATTTCCTGTCTTCTTTTTTTTTTTTTTTTTTTTTTTTTTGGAGACAGAGTCTCACTTTGTTGCCCAGGCTAGAGTGAGTGCCATGGCATCAGCCTAGCTCTCAGCAACCTCAAACTCCTGGGCTCAAGCGATCCTCCTGCCTCAGCCTCCCGAGTAGCTGGGACTACAGGCATGTGCCACCATGCCTGGCTAATTTTTTCTGTATATTTTTAGCTGTCCAATTAATTTCTTTCTATTTTTAGTAGAGACAGGGTCTCGCTCTTGCTCAGGCTGGTCTCGAACTCCTGAGCTCAAACAATCCGCCCGCCTCGGGAGAGTGCTAGGATTACAGGCGTGAGCCACCGCGCCCGGCCTTCTTGTCTTCTTTAATCCAGTTGGAATCCCTGGCAAGAGTGATAAAATCATGTCTCTGTCTAGTAGCTAAAGAAGGATGTGATAATTGGACTTATCCCTAATGTCCTGTTTTCTTTTGCGTCCGGGTTTGATGGAATCTTGCAGATGTTCGTGCTGCGAGAGAGCAGATTGGCATAGGAGGACTTGCGTACCCCCCGCTCCCTCTGCATGAAGCTCCTCCCAGGGCGCCATCAGGGTACAGCCAGCCCCCATCCGTGTGTTCTTCCTCCACGTCCTTCAACGGGCCCTTCACAGGTGGGGTGGTGTCGCCACAGCCTCACAGCAGCTACTACAGCGGCATGACGGGCCCTCAGCATCCCTTCTACAACAGGGTAAGGAGGTCGAGGCAGCTTTGCTTTTGAGAATTTGTTCCAGAAAAGTCACACAAGTTTTCTACCTGTGGATTCCATTATTGTTTTGAAACTGTACTTTGGCTTTAAAATAGGAAAAATGTAAGGTTCAAATGTAAAATATATGATTTTTTAAAAATGAAAAGAATGTTGAATTTTAATGTGTTTTAGCTCTCAAGAGAGTCTGAATATTAGAGATGCTTTTTGCTTTAATTTATTTTCTTAATTAGAAAATGAACACAGGGTCAGCATTGACTATTCCTGTGCTTCGGAGAAATCTGTTTCTCTGTTTATAAACAAATGTTCCATTTGTTATATCTTGTATAATAATTTATAGTGGCATTTGAAACAATGACAAACTTAAATTCCTACAGTGGTTCAGTAAACCTGTACTTAATACATTTTATGTCTTTTAAGTGTGAGGTAATAATGGAGAAATACTACTTGTAGGGCTCAGATATTATTGCCAAATAAGCACCATAGCCCATTTTTAGAGTTTTATTTCAAGTTATCTTCAGTCATGTGTAATTGTTTACTTAATATGAATAAGACAGTTTTCTAGATGAAACCCCAATTAATTATTAGTGGTACACCCTGTCAAGTGTAGTAAGGCCAACCTATCTGTTCTTACTTTAATGATCTTAGACGCTAATGTTTCCTAGAGGAAAATGGGGCATGCATGAACCATGGTATTACGCTTTCTAGAACTGTACTGCGAGATCCATTGCAGCTCCTTATTTTTTTGTCTCTCTCTTTAGTCTAATTCAAGAGAATTTAGGGGCTAGTATTCATGGAAGGCAACTGCCTGCCTAAATAAATTTCATATGAGCTAAATGTGGCAAAGAAGGAATTCCAGAATTTAAATTAAATTTTCAGTTTTTGAAAAATGTTGGCCATGTAAGTAATTAGGAACACTGCTCATAGAGGCCTAGGAAAGTTATTCCATGTTTCTGTTGAGACAAGGAGACAAACGTAGAACAATGGCATTTTATAATATATTCCATCCTTACAAAATTTAACTCTGTGATAGGCAGAGTGAAATGCAAGTTTTTATTTACCAGTCTTAAAATCTGATGGCTCAATTAATGCCAGTGGAAGTTTTGAAACGAAGAAGTTTATTTGAAGAAAAAAAAAAGATTACCAGGCCAATCTAGGCTGAGATAGATGTTACGTTCAATAATTTCATGAATAGCAATAATGTGATAATGCTTCAGTAGTATTTTACTATTTTTAAAACATTTAAAATTTTCTCTTGTTTTTAGTTCTAGTTACTTTTTCTGTAGTTATTTGAGTTTTTAGTCTTAAAGTTAAAAGCAGGATCATTCTTCTAAACTGGTAGGAGTCTAAAATGTGTACCTCAGTATAATGAAACCTAATGAAGTGCAGTCTTTATTTTTGCCCATATAATCTGATGCCTCCTGCTGATATGAAGCTGCTCACAAGTGCATGCTGTAGTTATAAATCTCCTGTAAACAGTGGATTCCCCACTTGTTTTTTAAAAATTCCACTTGCTTATTTAGGGCATAAACTCTAGGGTGGAGATTAGAGGTAAACTCCAGGAACTTGGAGTAACACTGTTCTTGCAATCTGTGCTGGGGTGTTCTCATATAATCCGGACCTTTTTTTGGTCTTATTTAAGCTAATACTTTTTGTCAGGAATTTAATTGTAAAGAATCTCTTCTTTTAAAGAGATTGTGAGTTAATATTCATAATCACTTAGAGCTTGACACACGGTAAGCTTGTAAACATATTAAATGTAAAGAGAAATTATTGTTTCAAATTGTAAGGTGAAAATTTTAGTTGCTTTTGTTTTTTTAAAAAAACCTCATATTAAATGAACAATATAAAAATGTAAATAATACGTTTTAAGTTTGGGTTTGCTATCTTACAGAATATGAGAGAGGTTTTTTTTTCTTTTGTTTTGTCACTTGCATTAAAAATTTTAGAGTTATGTATTATTGGTTAGTTTCATTTGATAAATCTCATTACACTTTGATTTCTGTAATTGTTTATCCCCTTTTTTGTTACGTGTTTTTCCATAGCCATTCTTTGCCCCATACCTTTACACGCCAAGGTATTGCCCTGGCGGTTCCCACCATCTCATCTCACGTCCATCAGTAAAAACGAATTTGCCCAGAGATCAGAGCAATGGCCTAGTAAGTATATAAAAGGGTAACTAAAATATTAATCTAATAATAAACATAGATAGCATTAGAAGTTTGGTTATTTCCTAAAATAATGCAACTTATTTTATAAATAGTTTTAAGAAACATAAGCTGTTAATAACATAAAATGTATTTTGTTTTCATTTCTGGCAAATATCTATGGAAGGAAAATGACTAGCAGTCTCAGTAAATAAATGTTGACTTGTTTACAACCAGAGATTTCTGGCTTGTAATATAATGTTTATTACCAAAACTTTTCAAACTAAACCTTTGTATTTCCTAATTTCTAATATCTTTTTTAAAGACATACATATATGGTATCTGTATATATATGTCAGCACCATGGTATAAGAAATAAAAAATATATTGAAAGAAGAACATTTCAGTCTAATGGCAGAAATTAAACAGGATAAGGGAAATTCTTCAAATGTAGTATTGAATCTAATTAATCCAAAACAAAAGATATTTGTGCCCCACATATTAGGGGTTCCTGATGCTAAACCTAGTTTAACTAATAATTTACAAAAGAAACTCCCTATTAATGTATTTTTATACATTAGAGGGCAAAAAGCTATAGAACTTATACTGCTATTTAAACTGTAAAATGTTACGAAGGGAAACTCTAGTCACATAAAGTGTTTGAGTGTTGTATGTTATTATTTTGACATCATGTTCATGTGTCTCCGTGGTTTGGCTCATCCCTCCACCTTTGCACCCACACTCTCCCATTCTGTGTTGTTAGGAGGTTATCAAGGAGGATGCTGCCGAGGGGCTTTCTTCACCCACAGACTCCTCAAGGGTAATAGAGCAGTCTTGTGGTGTGGACTGCGAGTGTCTCGTTGCTTGTGCAGCAGTAACGACTGTCTTACTTGTGATGACAGCAGCTCACTAACTCGGCCTTTGTGGTGTGGTGGGCAGCTAGTGTACAGTAGCTGAGTGCTAACAATTATAGTTCATGAATTAATTAAAAGCTGATGTTTAACTCTACCCTTTATTTCCTCCCACTTTTCCCTTTTTTCAATGACATGGAATGGGGTCTTTTTTATTCTCCAATAAGGAAGGGCTTTTTCCAGCAGCCATCAGGAGTGTTCAATTGGTGGTATTTGTTCCGTAGTATTGGGGTCTGGTTTCACCTTTGACTGTTTCTGTTAAGCCTGTAATTGGTATTATATGTGTAGAATATTTTTTAAAATATCCAACATCACCCTTGAAACTTCAAGAAGACATTGTGAAGGCCGGGCGCAGTGGCTCACGCCTGTAATCCTAGCACTCTGGGAGGCCGAGGTGGGAGGATTGTTTGAGCTCAGGAGTTCAAGACCAGCCTGAGCTAGAGCGAGACCCCGTCTCTACCAAAAAAAAA